TTACAGCCTTGGAAACCATATGGGGCAATTCTACTGTGTTCTATAGAGTTGGTATGAGTCAGAATCAACTTGACAACAGTGGGCTTGGTCTGGGTTTGGTCTCCACTTCTAGCCATTGTTGCAACACTATACACTTATTACCAAACTATCAAAACAGCCTCTTAAAGATTCCTTAGGATTCCAGTGTCTCCACCCTCCAAATAAAGCAACGCCAGACTGATCTACCTGAAGGCCAATATAATCACATTAGCTAAAACCTCATATTCTTGGGCATAGCATTTCAAGTCTTTCACAGCATGATGCAAACTACTATTATAGTAGCAATTCTTGTCACCTACACAGTACTAAGTGCCCCTCCACCCACACAGTACAACCCACTCACCAAACCTCTGTAGTTTCAAATTTCTATGCCTATGTATAGGCCTGGAGTGTCCCTTTCCCTCCCCTTGACTGGGTAATGCCAGCTCAAATGTTATCGTTTTCATAATAATTTCTCCCTCTGGGATTTTAAAGCATTTTGAAAAAGTTATGCCTGCTTTCCCAACATCTCAGAGGTTCACACTTGAAAGATCTAAGCCCATGTTCCATCAGTTAGCTAACTCAGTAACTGAGGAGATGAGATCACATGCAACGGGTACCCTATAATTACTTTGTTAAAACCAAACTACAAAGGTACTTTAAAATGATTTTTGCACTAGCAGAGTTAGAATTCTTTTCAACTCTGACCTTTGGAGTGAGTTTTGTTCTATCACTAATACTACCAACACTATCTGCAATAATATTTCAAATTAATCTCTTATCAGTCACTAATATATTATCCGAATTTTTATTTTCATGCTTCTGACTTTCCAGAAAAATATACTCTGGTTTAATGTGAACAGTTCTGTCTCCCAGTTAAGTACTCTCTTGAAAATACAAGGACTAGAAGAATTCCACATTTTAAATAGAATCTGTTGTCCAAAACTCATAGCCTTCAACGCTGAGCAAACTACAGAGCTACACTAATATATAGCTCTGTAGTAGTTCCCAATATGAACTGGGTAGGAATCCCAGAAGATAACACAACAAATCAGATTTAGGAGGAAAATTTGAGATTTAATACTTTTGTATGCGATTCAATTCAGTAACATCTATTTACTACTATAAAAGATCTTAAGGAGCTCTGGTAGCATACTGGTTACAAATTGGGCTGCTAATCTCACAGTCAGCAATTCGAAACTACCAGCTGTTCCACAAGAAAAAGATGAGGCTTTCTGTTCCCATAAAGATTTACAGCCTTGGAAACCCTGTGCAGGGTCACTGAGTCGGAACTGGCTCCACGGCACACCACCACCACCATAAAAGATCTTAGAGTTCATGTGTGGCGCTATGGGACAAAGAACTGGACAGCAAGGTCGGTTTGAACCACAAGGGCAGTAGTTCATACTCACCAGGCACTCCTTGGAAAACCTATACAGGGTCAGTATGAGTAAAAACTGACTCAATGACACTTAACAACAACATAACAGATCTTAGGAGTTCCGGTATGGTGCTATAGGATAAGTACTGGACCTCAAAGTCATTTGAACTGGAGGGTGGATGGTTCAAACTCATCAGCCACTCCTCAGAAACCACATACAGGGCTGCTTCGAGTTGGAACCAAGCCGACAGCATTTAACAACAACAATAACAACATAAGCAATCTTAGGGGTAAAAAGAAGTAAGTCACAGTCTTAGGCCTCAAGATATCATACAGTAAAATGAATAAAAACAAGCTAGGTACACTGCAACCAAAACAAAACAAGACAGAGATCTAAGGACAAGTGCTGTGGGATTTAAAGGGAGATAGTATCTGAGATCCAGAGCCAAAGATACTGAAGGAAGTCCAAGGTGAATTGAAGGAATTGGCAAAGAACAAGGCACCAGCAACTAATGGAATAAAAATTGAAATCTTTCAAGAAAGTGAGGCGGCATAGGAGGCATTTACTCATTTCTGCCAAGAAATATGGAAGACAACTATCCGGCTGACTGACTGGAAGAGATCCATATTTGTGCCCATTCCAAAGAGAGGTGACCCAAAGAAATGTGGAAATCATCGGACGATCTCTTTGATATCCCATGCGAGTAAAGTTTTGCTAAAGGTAATACAGAAACGGCTACAATCATACATTGACAGAGAACTTCCAGAGGTTTAAGTCAAATTCAGAAGTGGCCGTGGAACAAGGGCTATCATTGCTCATGTCCGATGGATCTTGGCTGAAAGCAGAGGATATCAGAAAGATGTCTACCTGTGCTTTATTGACTACGCAAAGGCTTTCGATTGTGTGGATCATGACAAGCTGTAGACAACATTGAGAAGTGTGAATATTCCAGAACACTTAATTTGCTCATGAGGAATCTGTACCTGGACCAAGAGGCAGTTGTTCGAACAGAACATGGGAACACTGAATGTTTTAAAATGAAAAAAGGTATTCTTTCACCATACTTATTCAACCTGTATGCTGAGCAAATAATCCAAGAAGATGGGTTCTATGAAGAAAAACATGACATCAGGATTGGAGGAAGATTCATTAACAACCTGCCATATGCAGATGATACAACCTTGCTTGCTGAAAGTGAAGAGGACTTAAAATATTTACTGATGAAGATCAGAGAGCACAGCCTTCGGTATGGATTCCATCTCAATGTAAAGAAAACAAAAATCCTCACCACTGGACCAATAAACAACATTTTTACCAATGGAGAAAAGATTGAAATTTCAAGGACTTTCTTGGATCAACTATCAACACTCATGGAAGCAGCAGTCAAGAAATCAAACAACATATTACATTAGGCAAATCTGCTGCACAAGACTTTTTTAAAATGTTGAAGAGCAAAGATGTCAGCTTGAGGACTAAGGTGTGCCTGACCCAAGCCATGGTATTTTCAATAACCTCACATGCATGCGAAAGCTGGATAGTGAATAAGGAAGACCATAGAAGAATTGATGCCTTTGAGTTATGGTGTTGGAGGAGAATATTGAAAGTGCCATGGGCTTCCAAAAGAACCAATAGATCTGTTTTGGAAGAAGTACAGCCAGAGTGCTCCTTAGAGGCCAAGACGGCCAAACTTCGTCTCTCATACTTTGGACACATTGTCAGGAGGGAGCAGTCGCTGGAGAAGGATATAATTTTTGGTAAGGTTAGAGAAAAAGAGGAAGACCCCCAGCGAGATGGATTGGCCAAGTGGCAGCATCAATGGGCTCAAGCGTGGCGACAGTAGTGAGATCGGCCCAGGATCAGGCAGTGCTTCGTTCTGCTGTGCATAAGGTCATTATGAGTCGGTACCGACTCAATGGCACCTAACAACCACAGTATCTGAGATGGACCATAAACAAAATATAAGAATTTTTACAACAGAAATTCTAGTCTAGGCAGAAAAAGGAGAGTAAGGGCAGAAAGGAGAAAAGGCCCAAGTGTTTGTAAAAGGTGGAATATAATGGATTCTATAAAAGAAGTGTATGAATAGGTAGATAAACAATTATCAATAATTTTGGGAGGCGGGGAGGACAAGCGAATTCGTGTTAAAAGTTATGGCGTGGTTAAAGAGAATGAGGACTGAAAATGAAGACAAGGACATTCAATTTTATAATCATAGCATTAGCAACCTTATCTAACCTCAGTGGGGAGATAAGAAACCAGACTGTACACAGTGTCATAGTTAAGTGCCATTGTGTTGCTTCCAACTCATAGGGAACATGTTGTTGTTAAGTACCGGGTCGGATCTGACTCATAGTGACCCTCCACAGGGTTTCCGAGGCTGCAAATCTTTACAGGAGCAGAAAGCCTCATCTTTCTCCCAAGGAACAGCTGGTAGTTTAGAACCGTGAACCTTGACTACGCTACCAGAGCTCCTTAGGGAACATGTATAGGGCTTTAAATCTTTGAAAGAACAGAAAGCCTCATCTTTCTCCTGTGGAGCTGGTGGGCTTGAACCATGGGTCCTGTGGTTCACAGTATGGTGTCCACCATATGGCACCACCACGCTCCCATACATAGTATTTGATTGTTGTTACATGCTGCCTAGTCAGTTCTGACTCAGAAAAACAAAGGCGAGTCAATAAAAAGGTTCATCATGAGAAAGAATAATTAAGGCAAGCAGAACTGATTTCGTTTTTAGAATAGGAAAGACCTGAACATACTTGCTGACAGCAGGAAAGATTAAATGGAAAGGGGAAGATGGCAAGATTGAACAGAGAGTGGGGATACCTGGTGTAGCACTGTAGGGAAAGTACAAGGTCAGCAGTTCAAACCCACCAATCGCTCTCGGAAACTTTGTTACAGGGTTGCGATGCTGACTCCATGGCACACAACAACAACATACTTGGCACAAAGTTCCAGAAAGTGGCTGGAGGCAAAACCATGTCAAGGGGAAAGCTGGGCCTTGGAAAAGAAGAGAGGCTTTTTTAAATTTCCTCTGGGAAAAAGGAAAATTGAGCAATGAAATTGCGTGATTGAGAACTGGATGGGAAAGAAAAGTGCCTGGAGATTTGAGGAGGGCAGGCGTTTGAAACAAATGAAGAAAGTCAGCAAGAGGCAAAAAGGACTATAGCAGCAGTGAGGGCTTGGCTAGATTCAGAAACATGAAAGTGCAAAGATGTATTCAGCATATATGTTGACTTGCAAGGAACCTCAGAAGAGTGGGAGGCTACAGTGATCACAAAAGCAAACCAAAGAAAGGAAACCAAAAAGCGACTTGTCTAAAGTACCTAGGTGACAGGGCTAGGAGCAACCCAAGGCTCTCTTTTACTACTCTCCCTCTTTTTTGAATAAAAATCTCCTAAGGTTAAAGTTACAACTTTTCTGGTTAAACTTAAAAGTTAATTTCTAGTTTTAAAGCCAAGTTATTAGAGCAACGTAATGAGATACTTAACTCTTTGCAGTGCAGAGACAATAAAACTAGGTTGTTTTACATGTAAAATGCCATCAAATGTGAAAAACCATAAAGATTAATTGCCAGACCAAACTCAAAGTGCCACTTACCTGACAGCTTCAGGAAAACCCATCTTGTACAGCGTTACAACGACAGCTCCGCCAATGCCTAAATTATGCTGCAGAGCAACCTTTGCACCAGGAACTTGCCTTTTTCCGGCTTCCCCTCTTAGTTGCCAGCAGAGTTCAGCACACTGAGCCAGACCTAACAAGTCGAACGCAGAGCTGTCAGAATCGGTAGATTTCGAAAGCCGCCCCAACCAGTTTTCTCAAGCCAGAAATGTTGAACATTTGTGATTTAATTAAAGCATTTAATTAAGTTCAGCCCCACGTTTGATTAAATAACCTCTTAAAAGCACTGTGAGCTTTGCAGCTCGTTTTATTCTCCTCCTAAATAACTGCTGCTTTTACGCCTAAGAAATTCCCTGTGCACTTTAAACTTTAGGCATCCTTATTGACCTGTTATTTTCTAGTAAATTGAAAGGGAAAACTCTTGAGTATGCTCATACAGTTCTCTGGCCCAGACAAAATAGTATACAAATATAGTATTGCATCTAACTATTTTTAATTTGGCACTAGAAAATAATTTAGGATTTGGGAGTTCACTTTTTCTAAAAAATTTTAACTGGTATGAAGAATTTTCTGATTATTTTCTCCAAATAGTTCCCCAAAAAATGAATTATTTTCCAGCTATTCCCAGGTATTCATAAAAATAGTCCTGGATTCATAAAAACAGCATTTCATCCCCTGGCTAGTGAAATCAAAGGTTTTTTAAAACTGGACACAACTTCACGATGTAAGCATTAAGACATAGGAGGAATAATTTACTTGTGAATGCACAGAGCAGGTTAATTATAAAGCTAGGATTAGAAGCCATGATTTAACACACTTGTCTTTCTATCAGGCTGGAGTAAGAATGTTCTATCAGGATAGGCTGCTTTCACGATCCTGGGACAGATCTTCAGAGGTTCTATTCTTCCATCCCCCCAACCCCCTCAATCACAACTTGTGATTTCTCAGTACTTTAACAGTTCTCTATATAAACCCCAACCTCCCCAACATATTTAATTGCCAATCCTCATTTCCAGGCAGTTTCTATGTAATTTTAAAATATACAAGAGGTCTTCAAAGAGTTTATGGGAAAATGCCATTATCTTTCAACTCAAATTTCCCATTGATATATAAGCCCCTACATATATCTTAAGCACTGTTCTAAAACAGATAACTCAACACCCTGTAATGATTTTTTAATTGTGAACATTTTGAAAATAAGGAAAGTCAAGTGAATTAACACTCTAACTTTGAGATAGTAACTGGAAATCGGTGTTATAAAAAGCCTCAAAATTTAGTTGAGTATGTAAGATAAAAATAGTAAAACAGATCTTATAAACACCTGGGTGGGAAAAAATCAGCTATCAGTTCACACACATACACACACACTCTATATATATATAAAAGCACTAACTAGATAATGTTGTTATTATTAACATCGTGGAGTTGGTTCTGACTCATAGCAACCCTGTGTAAGGTTTCCAAGAAGTGGCTGGTGGATTTGAACTGCTGACCTACAGTTAGCAATCCTACAGTGTCACACCAGGACTCCAACTAGCTAATTGTTGTCTAAGTGCTATGGAGTGGGTTCCAACTCATAGTGACCCTGTATAGGGTTTCCAAGAAGTGGCTGGTGATTTGAACTGCTAACCTTGTGGTTAGCAGTCCAGTGCTTATCCTACAGTACCACACCAGGACTTCTAGATAACAGACACGTATTAATTTGGGTGAAGAGAAAGACAACATGTAAAAAGGGAGTGAGTGGCACAATATCACTAAAGAAAAGGAAAACACAAAGAGGTGCACAAACAACAAAGGTAAATACTATCGTACATACTGTCCTGCATTATCAGTAATAACAAACATTAATCTACAAGTGGATACATAGGCAGACAGGCAAGAATAACAGTTAAGAGTAAGTAAAATGTACTACATTAATGACCATATATGTTTGGCAAATGTTATTTCTACAAATGTTATTTGTATGTGCTATCAAAATATCCACGTGTACAATAGAGCCAACACAGGCACATGTATGTAAACTTCTTAGCCACATTCTAACACATTCAGGGAATGGGTTACTGGGCTTGGGCGTCTGAAACCATAGTTGTGGAAGTCATCAAAGGCAATTGGCATAACAGTCCACAAAGACCATGCTCTACATCTACTTTGATGAGTAGCAACTGGGGCCTTAAAAGATGGCAAGTACCCCACTTGACCTGGCTTCGATGGCTGGATGAACAGAACAACTAGAAGAAGAAAGAAGAGGGGGAAAAAAAAGAGTAACCTGCTACAATTTGATGAGCTTTACCTATACTTATGGATGTAGTAGCTCAAAAAGGGGAACAAATCTTCATAGTGAGGATCACTCTCACGCCCTCGGTACACAGGATTGACAGGGATGGACAACTTAGATGTTGGCTACCCAAAATGGGTGGGCCTAAAAAGGCAAGAAATGACTGACTTACAAACTTTCAAGAGGGAGCCTAGTTCCAGATGGGGCAGGGGAAGGTAGAATCACCACTGAATGATTTCCAATCCATTGGGACCAGGCTGGTGAAAGGAAATGGGGATAAGACTTTTATGGTACAATAGTGAGTAACTGCCATCAG